CATGGAGTGTCCCAGTCAATAGCTTGCCCACCGCAAGACATGTAAATGAAGCCATCTTCCACCAGCTGATGTGAGAGGCATGCACAAGCCTAAACTAGAACTTCCCAATAAACCCAGAAAATTGTATGCTAAATGACTGGTTGTTGTATTAAGGTACTCAGTTTTGGGATGGTTTGTAATACAATTTGTTATGCAGCACAACTAACTGATACACTCTTGAACAACTATATTTTTCTAAAAGGACAGAGAGAGCAAAAGTGGGGAGGAGGGGTGGAAAAGCCTTTAAAAGGGGTTCCTTGGTTATAGGGCTTTTTTTTTAAGACAAGGGATTTTAGTATCTTTCTTTTCTATTCTGATTACCCATTACATCACACTTTCTCCCTCCACATACCTGCGATAAGAAGTGGGGCAAAATTAGAAAACAGGATAAAAATCAAATTGTTTCATATTTGAAATATCAATTTTGGGCAGCCCCAGTGGATCAGCAGTTTCGCGCCACCTTCAGTCCAGGGTGTGATCCTGCAGACATGGGATTGAGTACCACGTGGGGCTCCCTGCATGGAGCCTCCTCCTCCCTCTGCCTGTGTCTCTGCCTCCCTCTCTCTCTCTCTCTCTCTCTCTCTCTCTCTCTCTCTCTGTGTGTGTCTCATGAATAACTAAATAAAATCTTAAAAAAAAAAAAAGAAACATCAATTTGGAAAAAAATTAGGCTCAAGATTTACATCAACCTATAATTCAAAAAGGAAAAAAAAACAAGCAATTCACTGAAAAACAAAAATAAAAATCCTTGTTGGCATCTTTGGGCACATGCCCATACTTGACTTGATGAACACATCTAGCACCTGGAGGATGCTATAAGACTCTGAACCATCTGGTATGTGTCCTAGACCACCACATTCCTTCCACTCGGAGCCTGACATCTGCCTCAGGTTCTGCAGAAGCAGTCAATAACTCCTCTCTGTATCCTCTTCTGTATACCTGACCCCATCTCAACTCACTTCCCCCACCATCTTGCACCATCAGTAATACCCCTTTAGTTAGCCTGCAGACAGGCAAATGTAGCCTTTAAAACCCTCCCTTGACCAAGCTTACGCCTTCAGCTACAATATTCTATCTTCAACATCAAACTGTCCAAAAGGGTATTCTTGTGTGTAGCCTCCACCGTCTCACCCCCAGTCACTCCATCTCTCTGGCTGGCTTAAGATCCCACTACTCACCTAGACTTTTCTTTCAGTACTCAGTGACAACTTCCTCAATACACTACCACTTCCTAATCCTGCTGCTCCGCAATTTTTTGCATCATCAAACATTGCTGACATTTCATTCCTTGAAATTCTCTCTTCTCGGGATCCCTGGGTGGCGCAGCAGTTTGGCGCCTGCCTTTGGCCCAGGGCGCGATCCTGGAGACCCAGGATCGAATCCCACGTCGGGCTCCCGGTGCATGGAGCCTGCTTCTCCCTCTGCCTGTGTCTGCCTCTCTCTCTCTCTCTCTCTCTGTGACTATCATAAATAAATAAAAATTTAAAAAAAAAGATTAAAAAAAAAAGAAATTCTCTCTTCTCTGGGCTTCTGTGACAAAATGCCTTCCTGGCATCAAACCCCCTTCCCAGCTCCACACTACTCCCTTATCTTTCCTCTTTATCTGTCAAATAAATGAAGGCATTACACCAAATCCTTAACTGTCACTCTTTCTACAAAGAACTAGTCCCTTGTCAATAGCATGATTGCACCTCTCTTTTCCCAAGCTCCCATCCTTATATTTTTACTGCCCAGCCAGAACCTATACCTGGGTGTCCCACAGGCACCTAACCCAGACTGTCCAAAACTGCACTCATCATCCTACCTTCTAAACTTGGCTTCTCTCAAGGGTTCCCATTGCTGTTGTGGCAGTTTACAAACCAGACTCAACATTCTGAAAGCACATATGCACCCCTATGCCTACTGCAGCATTACTGACAATAGCCAAGATATGGAAGCAGCCCAAGTGCCCATCAATAGAAGATGAAATGGTATATACATAGAATGGTATATTACTTAGCCATAAAAAAAATGATGAGATCTTGCTATTTGCAAGAACATGGATGCACCTAGAAGTTATTATGCTAAGTGAGGTAAGTCAGACAGAGAAAGACAAATATCATATGATTTCACTCATATATAGAATCTAAAAAAAAACAAAAGAAATGAATAAGCAAGCAAACAAAAAGCAGAATCAAACCTATAAATACAGAGAACAAATTGATGGTTGTAAGAAGGAAGAGGTTAAAGGGATGTACAAAATGGGTGAAGGGGAGTGGGAGGTGCAGGTTTCCAGTTATGGAATGAGTAGGTCATGGGGATGAAAGGCACAGCATATTGAATACAGTCAGTGGTACTATAATAGCACTGTATGGTGACAGATGGCAGCTACATTTGTAGTGAGCATAACTTAATATACAAACTTGTACATCTGGGGCAGCCCCAGTGGCTTAGAGGTTTAGTGCCACCTTCAGCCCAGGGCATGATCCTGGAGACCCGGGATCGAGTCCCACATCGGGCTCCCTGTGTGGAGCCTGCTTCTCCCTCTGCCTATCTATCTCTCTCTCTCTCTCTCTCTCTCTCTCTCTCTCTCTCTCTCTCTCTCTTCCCCTCTGTGTATCTAATAAATAAATAAAATATTAAAAAAAAACAAACTTGTACATCTGAAACTAATGTAATATTGTGTGTCAACTATACTCAAGTAAAAAATATTTTGTAATAAATAAATAAAACTGAGGTAGAAATAAGTGTGTTAACATGTAAGGATTTCCAAAATAGATTACATGTAAATAAATAAGAAGGTGATGATGGCAGCTAATATTTACCAAGCACATACTACATGCCATACTCTGCCTGAAATCCTAGGATATATGTTAACCTGTTTGATGCTGACAGGAGGAAGCTGAGTCAGAGAGAGGTGAAGTAACTCGCCCAAAGAGAAACAGCTGGAAGGAGAGGGCAGGATCCAAACCCAGTCTGGCTCCCCAGGCTACACTATCCAGTCACCTAAATACAGAGCAGATTGTGCAGTGTGACCTTATTGGCTTGATTTTTCAAAGAATATTTTATATAAGTATATGTGTGTGTAATATACATTAATAACACATACAGAAAAAAATACATGAAACTTTTAATAGTGGTTGTGTTCAGAGTAGGATTGGGGGTCTGAGCAAAACATAAGGTTCAATTTTCATTTCAAGCCCTTCGGTGGAGTTTGAATTTTTTTTTACAGTGTGCAAATATTATTTTTATGTCTTTCTTTTCAAGTAAACTATTCCTATGGAACTCATGCCTCCTTTGGGTTTCTTCTTCCATTTTCTCTGTAGCCATTTGTGGTTCAATTAACACTGTAAAGAGAAAGTTCCAGGGAAACAAAGATACTAACCACTGCAATCTCCCAGCTTTGCTAAGATTAGTCTGGCAAGAAAGAAAGCTTAATAGCATATAACTTGGGGCTCATGACACATACAACCTTTAAAGCTTTCTGAATGTTAAAAAATAAAAATTACATATAAAAAAAGTTCCTTTTGTAGAAGTGCTTACCTTTTAATTTCAAACTATTTTCCAGTGTTATAAAATTTTCATAGAAGATAAAATATATCTGAGAATAGTTGGTCTCAAAAAACTGCTTAAGATCACTTGCATCCACATTATCTGAAAAGAAAAAGTTACCATTGTAACAATAATCTTATACAACTATCAGAATTCACAAACCTTTTCAGAAGTAAAGGAAAGTAAGAACTAGTTTTATCCCCCTATGAGATAAAACCAAACAATGAAAATAGTATTTGTTCTCCACTAAGAGATCTTAGTTGTCCTGGGGCCCCTCCCCCACAGGCAGACCCCTGCAGGGGACTGATTCCAGGGCATCAGAGCCATGGGGGCTCAGCACTCACAGACCAGCTAGAAGTCCAGGGGTAAGTACAGGTTGGGAGGGACAAGATGCCTTCCTGTTGGGAGTGGGGAATAGAGGTTCACACAGGAGGTGACTTTTGACATAGGCCATAAAGAGGAATGGGTCTGTACATCTGAAAAAACAATTTTGCTGCTGGATTCCTACATGGCTCAGTTTTTCCTCCCTCCCAGCTGACCTGAGACCAGCTCAACAGAACTAGCTGGCGCTCCCCAGCACACCCACCCTCTTCCACCTGGGCCACTGGTCAAAGCCTTCCCTCCAGCTCCTAGGTGAGCTGTTCCACTCTCTTTGAACACAGAGAGGCCTACCATGTGTTTCTAGAGTTGCCCTGAGCCATGTTTCTCCCTGTTGGACCAGGTCTGCTCAATCAAGAACTGTGGCTAGAAAGGTTATGCATGGAACTTAGCTCAGCCACCTGCTGGAGCCCAGCAGCAACAGAGCCACTTCTTCCAGGGACCCAATTATCACTCACAACTCTGGTCAGAGTACTTATCCACTATCAACATGCCTTTGTACATTTTCCTTAGCAAACAGGTTATTTGTACCATTTACACAAACAGGTTGTTTGTGCCTGACCAAGGTGTTAGCTCTTGAGAAGAATACACTAGACATCTCAGGAAAATTAAAAACAGCTTCTTTAAATTCTGCAAGGATTACTCAAGAAACAAATGTATTGCTATTCAACCTATGATAAAGTAGATCCAATTGCTTTTGGGGTCCTAATACTATGTCTATATGTGAACACATACATTACTATATTTAAGTTCTATAAACTTGACACTAATGCTGGTGAATCAAAGGAGTTGTTTTTCTCCTTTCCCTCCTCCATAGGGGCTTTTCATGGAAAAAAAAAAAAATCTGACCTGATTCTTTGAAATGATGCACATAAGGTGTTTGTAAAGTCATATCAGCAGCCAATTTCACACTCTGTTCTGCCCCCCCAAATAATACCACAAAGCCCTAGAAGTTCCTAAACTAGTTACTAAACTAACAAATTTACCAGTGAAACTAGTATTATCATTCTTATGAGCTACATAATCCTGCCAAGGAATCCTTGAGTGCCTTCCACAGAATGTGTGGTTCCAAGAAAAGATTCTGTTCATTTTCACTCCAACCCAAACTACTGGTCCACCCCCAACTAACTGTTCCCCCTGAAACATACTTCACCTGCTAACTCCTGTTCGCACTTACTGGTAGCTAAAACATCCCCAGCCTGCCCCAAGACTAGGTCAATGACTCTGCTAGTGCTCCACCAGCTGGTTCTCCCTGGTCAAAAAACATATCTATTGCTTTACTTAATTCCTGATGGAATCCCTCTCGAGAGAATTCCTGACTTAATTCTGAAGGAATGATCTGTCTTCTCTGTTAGAGATACTGCAAACCCTACAGAACCTCTAGTCCATCCCATGCATCATTATGTCCCCTGCATCTAGCACAGTATTTATCTAGCTCAATATTTTCTTGAATGAGTTGAACAAAAGAAATGTCCTAAAACATATATATATACATGTGTGTGTGTATATATATGTAGATATGTGTTAATATATATAACAATGACAGGATAATGGCCACCATATGTAAACCATTAATTAGATCATATGCCTATAGGAAAGAAATGGCCTAGTCCACTTTCAAATCCTGGGTACTATCAAGAAAGAGATTTTACCCCCTACTAAAAACTCCAGATTTCACTCCACAAACCTACTGCCAGCTGGATTTCTCCACGTGAGGGTCTACAAGGCTCCTCAAATCAAACATGGCCAAAGAAAGTATTGTTCTCTCCTCAAATTCTGTTCTTCCTTAGGCCCTGCCACCCACCCAGCTACTCATCATCCTGGGTTCTTCTCACTCCTTCACAGCCCATCTCCGAGGTGTCAGTTCCACCTGCAACATGCTCCAGCCCTGGGTCCTTCATGTCCTCCATGGCCCTGCCTGCTATATGTCACCATGAATCCTCACCCAGGCTGCAACCATGCCCTCTGCCTGGGTTCCTATTTCCATTACTCCCCTCCACGGTCCATCCTCCACCATGCAGTCAGCAGAAAAACTCAACACTGTATATCAAACCAGGTCACTCCTTCACTCAAAACCTCCCAGTGGCCTCCAGTAGTACTTAAAATCCAAACTCCTGACCACGGCCTACAAGGCCCTGCAGAATTTCCTCCATTTGATGCCAACTTCATTTCACAGCACTCTGTCCTTCACACCCTACACTTCAGCCACTGGGCTTCTTTCTATTCCCCAGATTTCTCAAATGTGTTCTCCATTTGGGCTACCTCTAGTATGGTGCCCCCAACCCCAGAGCCCCATATAGCTCATTCCCTCTCATCCTTCAGAACTGGGATCACACATTACATCTTCAAAGAAATCTAAAAGTGCCACTGTGTCACTCTTCATATGTCATCTGATCACTCTGCCTTCTTCCTTCATAGGCTCTGCAATGGATGGATGCCTGACTGCTCACCAGTAAAAAGGTCTTGGACATAGAATGCCATAATCAAGCAAGCAATTTCCCTGGCATTTAGAGTATGAGTGTACTGACACAGCAAGATGGCACTGTGGGGTTATTGGATGATTGATGACTCCCTCATCTTCCCTGGGTCCCCCTTGGTCTATCAGAGATACTTAAATAGAGCAACCTGAACAAAGAGGGTTCTAGTCAAGGTTGAAAAGCACTCATACAGACTGAGGTGCTCTTGTGAAACCAGAAGTCCAGGTAATAGCCACCTTCCTCCTCAACCATTTGCTGTCTTTCTTGTGGATGAGGCATGGATGGGACAGAGCTCCAAATATATCAATATCAAGACCATTAGATACTTTTCAGGTAACCTGAAAACTAAGAGCATAACATAGGTAACATAATCAGTTTTATTTATAACATGAGTTTTATTTATAACTCTCCTCATTGGTCTAGGAGTCCTCTTCACATGATTCCTTCTAGAGCACTTAAGATTAGTTGAAATTATCTCATTTATTAATTTCCTTCTTCACTGACTGACACTCCACTAGAATGGAAGCAGCATAAGGGCAGGAATCTCATCTGATTTGTTCACTGCTCTATTCTTAGCCCCAGGAACAGAGCTTGGTACCCGAAAGGTACTCAGGAATATTTGTTAAATGAATAAACAAACAATAAATATTACATATTTTATATCTCTAATTCAATAGCTGAAAGGACTGATTTGTCTTATTTTTTAAAAGCAAGATTCATCAGATGAATATTTATAAAGTAAGCACAAATCTTGGAGGAGACCACAGATCCTGGAATTTAACATCCTGCAAAAGGGAACACAAGAAAATAGCCTGATTTTTAACAAGGTTAACTTCAAGAAGCATGGAGATAAAGAGTAAGGTTTGTTCAGAAAAAAACAATGAACAACAACAAAAACAAACAAAGTAACTATGACCAGAAACATCCTTTAGATAGACATTTTCTTTTAAGATTTTTAAAATTTATTCATAAGAGACACAGAGAGAGAGAGAGGCAGAGACATAGGCAGAGGGAGAAGCAGGCTCCCTGCAGGGAGCCAGATGCAGACTCAATCCTAGGATCCCAGGATCATGACCTGAGCCAAAGGCAAATGCTCAACCACTGAGCCACCCAGGTGCCCCTAGATAGACATTCTTTACCCATTCATTCAAACATTACTGAGCCAGTTCCCATGCCAACTAGCCTTGAGCTAAGTGCTAGCAAATTCAAAGAGAATAAGACACAGGGTCTTCAAGGGTTCAGTGGTAAACAAACAAGTAACACAAAGGGCACCATGACCATAGCTTATGCAGAGCATCAAAGCAGGAAGTAGACAAAGTCACTTGGGGAGGTTGAGAATATTAATAATGCTATACATTTATGCTTTAAAGATACTTTCAAGAATTTCTTTTATTTGACCCTCACCCATAACCCTGTAAGTTAGATGGGCAGGTATGATCAAAATAAAGAAACCACAGGTTCTAGATCTTATGTGACCTGCCCAAGGTGACACAGTCAGAGATCTGGGCAGAATTCCTATCTGGTATCTCAACTCAAATCTGAACCACACAAAGGCCTCAGAGACAAGGAGGAATAAATCAAAACCGGAAATCAGGTCAGGAATATATAAAAATCATCATCACCTTGGGGATGTAAAGGAGAGCCAGATAAAAAAAGAACAGGAAGATAAGTAAACAGATGAGAAATGAGGGGTGTGCTACTCAAGCCCGATTTCATGAAAATGGGAATTGCCGATTTCCCCGTTGAAGGAGCTCATGCCAGTCCCCTTCCACAGCACTAGCAGTGGCCAGTAAAGAAAGGGAGGACAAATACTGAACTAAAGAGCCCAGGCCTTTGAGGTGAGGATTTTCTGTGTGTTTGGCAACAGATATCAGCCCACTGCCTGACATAATCACAAAGTCCAGAGAAGTACATTCAAACTAACCACAGAGAAGCAACTAGCAGATAGCTTTATGGAGCTTGGGGTTATTCCTTAATTTTCAAAGAAATCTTTAATTTCTCACTCTCCTTCACCACCAACCAAGAGCCAATAAACTGTTTCTAGTATTTGCCCCAGTATTATTATCTCAAAAATAATCGATAAGCCACACCAAAAGCTACCCTCCCCCACTCCTCTGTCCAGCTAAAACCTCTGGTTGGCAATTATTTCTCCCCATCTAGCTGAAAGGCAACAGCAAGGCTGAGGGCGAAAACCTCTGGAGAAGACTGCCTGAGTAAAGTCCAGAAGCCACAGGGACTAATGCCCTC